CATTATGAAAAGCAATATGGATAATTTTGATTACATTAAGTTGAAAACTGTTTTCACAAACAAAGCAAATGCAACCAAGATTAGAAGGAAAGCAGAAAATTGGGAAAGAATTTCTACAACCAGTCTCTCTGATAAGGGCCTCATTTCTAAAACATATAGAGAATTAAGTCAAATTTATAGGAATACAAGTCATTCCCCAATTGATAAATGGTCAAAGGATATGAACAGACAGTTCTCAGATGAAGAAATTAAAGTCATCTATAGTCATACGAAAATATGCTCTAAATCACTATTGATTAGAGAAATGCAAATCAAAACAACTCTGAGGTACCACCTCACACCTATCAGATTGTCAACATGACAAAACAGGCACATGATAAATGTTGGAGAAGATGTGGGAAAATTGGAACACTAATGCATTGCTGGTGGAGTTATGAAATGATCCGACCATTTTGGAGAGCAATTTGGAACTCTGCCCAAAGGGCTATAAAAATGTGCATACCCTTTGATCCAGCAATAGCACTTCTAGGGCTGTATTCCAAAGAGATCATAAAAGTGGGAAAAGGACTCACATGTGCAAAAATATTTATAGCAGCTCTTTCTGTGGTGGCAAAGAATTGGAAATGGAGGGAATGTCCATCAGTTGGGGGATGGCTGAACAAGTTCTGGTATACGAATGTAATGGAATACTATTGTGCTATAAGAAATGATGAGCAGGCAGACTTCAGAAAAATCTGGAAAGACTTGTATAGACTGATGCTGAGCGAAGTGAGCAGAACCAGGAGAACGTCATACACAGGATAGCCACATTATGTGATGACTAACATTGACAGACTTAGCCCTTCTCAGCAATGCAAGGATCTAAGACATCTCCAAAAGTCTCATGATGGAAAACACTATCCACATCCAAAGAAAGAACTATGGAGTTTGAATGCAGATGGAAGCATACTATTTGCTACTTTTTTTTTCTTCTGTTGAGTTCTGTTTCCTCTTCCTGGTGGTTCCTCCTATTGGTTCTAATTCTTACTTACAACATCACTAATGTGAAAATATGTTTCATAGGAAATGTATATGTGTAGCCTATATCAGATTGTGTGCCGTCTTGGGGAGAGTGGTGGAGAAGAAGGGGGAGAAAAATTTAAACTCAAAAGCATATAGAAGTGATTGTTGATAAATCAAAATAAATTATAAAAATTTTTTTAAATTTAAAACAAAAAAAGGCAGAATTGGCCAAATGGAAAAGAAAGTCCAAAAGATTACTGAAGAAAATACTTCCTTAAAAATTAGAATGCAGCAAATGGAAGCTAGTGACTTTATGAGAAATCAAGACATTGTAAAACAAAATCAAACAAATGAAAAAATAGAAGACAATGCAAAACATCTCACTGGAAAAACAACTGACCTAGAAAATAGATCCAGGAGAGATAATTTAAAGATTACTGGAGTATCTGAAAGCCATGATCAAAAAAAGAGCCTAGACATCATCTTTCAACAAATTATCAAGGAAAACTACCCTGATATTCTAGAACCAGAGGGTAAAATAGAAAAGGAAAGAATCCCACCAATCACCTCCTAAAAGAGATCCCCAAAGGAAAACTCCTAGGAATATTACAGCCCAATTCCAGAGTTCCCAGGTCAAGGAGAAAATATTACAAGCTGCCAGAAGGAAACAGTTTAAGTACTGTGGAAACACAATCAGAATAACACAAGATTTAGCAGCTTCTACATTAAAGAACCACAGGGCATGGAATATGAACCAAGAATCACCTACCCAGCAAAACTGAGTATAATCCTTCAGAGGAAAAAATGGTCATTCAGTGAAATAGAAGACTTTCAAGCATTCCTGATGAAAAGACCACAGCAGAATAGAAAATTCAATTTTCAAATACAAGACTCAAGAGGTAAACAGGAAAGAGAAATCATAAGGGACTTATTAAGGCTGAACTGTTTAAATTCCTACACAGAAAGATGATATTTGTAACTCATGAGACCTGCAGTGTTAGGGTATTGGAGGAGAAAAAAGTGATATAGATAGATAGATAGATAGATAGATAGATAGATAGATAGACAGACAGACAGACAGCACAGGGTGAGTTGAAGATGAAGGGGTGATATCTGTAGAATAAAATTAAGGGTTGAGAGAGGATTATACTGGGAAGAGAAAAGGAGAGGTAGAATGGGGTAAATTATCTCACATAAAACAGACAAGAAAAGGATTTTATAGTAGGGGAAGTGGGGGAAGGTGAAAGAGAATGAGGGAATCTTATTCTCATTGGATTTGGCTTAAGGAGGGAATAACACACACTCAATTGGGTATGGAAATCTATCTTACTCTACAGGAAAATAGGAGGGAAAGGGGTAGGTGGATGATAGGGGAAAGGATAGAGCGGGGCAGAGGGTAATCAGAAGCAACACTTCTGAGGAGGGACAGGGTCAAAAGGGAGAACAGAATAAACAGGGGATGAGACAGGATGAAGGGAAATATAGTTAGTTTTTCACAACATGACTACTATGGAAGTACATGACTACACATATATAACCTGTATCGAGTTGCTTGTCTTCTCAATAAGGGCGGGTGAGAAGCGAGGAATGGAGAAAATTTGGAACCCAAAGTTTTAAAAACAAATGTTAAAAATTGTTTTCACGTGCAACTAGGAAATAAGATACACACGCAATGGGATGTAGAAATCTATCCTGCCCCACAGGAAAACAGAAGGGGAAGGGGATACAAGAAGGGGGGTGAGATAGAAGGGAGGGCAGATTAGGGGAAGGGGTATTCAGAAAGAACGTCATCTTGGGGTGGGGGAGGGATGACATGGGGAGAAATTTTGGAACTCAAAATCTTGTAGAAGCGAATATTGAAAACTAAAAATAAATAAATTAATAGAAAAAAAAGAAAAAAGGAAATAGGCTGAAAGAATAAGCAAAAGAAAAAGGGAAAGAAAAAAGAATCCAAAAAAAAAAAAAGAATGGTGACAGGAATGCTCTAAACACAAACTCAGAAGAAGAGAATGACTCCAAAACTTCTTCAAGCAAAGTTTCAAAGAAAAACACAGCCCTAAGTACAAGTTCTGCTAGAATTCCTAGAAGAGATGAAACAAGGATTTTTTAAAAGTTTAAAAATTTTTTATAAATGGTTTTCTTCCCTCAATGGGGCAGGGGGGAAGACAGGGTTTTTGCTCAATTAAAAAAAAAAACACACAAGTCACAACAACAGTCATTCACCAACAGTGAAGTGGTAAAAGGAGATGCAGAGGCAATTTTTCAAAAGAAGAAATGCACACTATCAACAACTGTATGAAAGAATAATCCAAATCTGAAAAGAAAAAAAGTAAAAACAAATCATCCCCATCATGCTGGCAAAGGTAACAAGAAACAAAAATGATCAACATTAAGAGAGGCTGACAGAAGATAGGCCCATTAATGGACTGTTGGTAGGATGGTAAATTAGTGAAACAATTCTAGGAAGCCCCTTGGGACAATACTAGAAAAGCCACTAAGCTGTATATATCTGCTGACCTAGAAATAAACACTTCTATTAGACATATGCCCTAACAATGTTACAAACAAAGGGAAAGGTCTCATAGAGACAAAAATATTCATAGCAGCACAGAACTGGGTGTCCATCAATTAAAGAATGGCTGAACAAACTAAGGCATATAAATGTTAACAGAATATTATATTCTTCCAAATATGAAGAATTCAGAAACACTGAGGCGGCTGAATGAACAGATACAAAGTGAAACATGCAAGACTTATGTAATTACCATGATAATGTAAAAGAAAACAAGAGTCAATGACATTAGGCAGTTTTTTGTCTTTCTCTGCATCTTAGCACACTGTAAGCACTTAATAAATACTAGTTGATTGACCAGGGACACAAAGAAAAAGAGAGGAGATAGTGAACTGCCCCTTGTTTGAGGTCTTCCTCAAAGGCTAGAGGACGTTGTTGGGACCTATGTGGGAAGGACTCCTTCTCAGGTATGGGCTGGCCTCACTACAACACTGAGAGTCTGTGATCACACTTAGAAGTATTATCATTATAGATAAATAAATAAAAGCCTGGGGTAGTATGGCTTGGAGTCAGGATGGTGGTATCATAGGATCCAGGATCCAGAACTGGAAGGGACTCTAAAAGCCATCTCATCCAACTCCACATGACAAAGACAGAGAATCTGAGGCCCAAGGGTAGTAAGGTCACACAGGCAGTAAACATCTGAGGAGAGATTTAAACCTAGTCTTGCGACTTCAGACCCCATGTTCTTTCCACCTGACTCCCTCTGCCAGGTCAAGTCTGACTACAGACACACACACTAGTAGTTCTATCACCCTAGGCAGCAAGTCACCTAACCATTCAGTGCCCCAGGCAATTATCGAGATGCCTGTCTACATTCATGGAGGGCATTTCCACGTTGGCAACTTCCCACTGAACCAGACCAAAAATTTTAAGCAAGCAAAATAAAATAACTTACTTAAACATAAATGTAACAAAATTATAAAGGTCAAGTAGGACTCAAATGAAGAGAGATGAGAAGACACCCACCCACCCACCCCATCAAAGAGGTGGGAGATCCAGAGGTGGGACACACTGCACATGATTTCTGACTTTTAGCTGTACTGATCAGTTGTGCTGATTTTTTTCTTCTTCTTTTTCTTTTTTTTGGGTGGGGTGTTAAAATTATTTGTTATATAGGGTGTAACATATATAGAGCTATAGCTATATCTATATATGGGAGATACATATATATATATATATATATATATACATACACACACACACACACATACACACACACACATATGGGATATATAAGGAATTCTAGGGAAAACTATTCTAAAGTAAAAAACAGAAGACATCAATAAAAACTTTTTAAAACTATATTTGCTAATAAAAATGAACATTCTCCTAATTAATGAATTTGCTAATTATTCTTTCCTGCATTGATATGGTTCTTTACTCAGCACAATAGAGAAAAGTAGAAAAGAGAATGCAGACTTACCAAATGTAGATTCTTTGTCAATAATTTTTCAAAGATTTTTTTCTGCTAATACAGTTCACATCGAAACCTACAAAAGAAAACCCATATTTGTAAAATATAAAAATTGTAATCAAAATTAAGCTATTTCAAATACCTATAGCACTATGTCGTCTACCATAAACTGAGACATTAGTCTAATAACACTCATTCTTAATTGTTTAAAACATGCCAGCATATGATAACGATGATGAATGGTGGTGGTAATAACAATAATGTATCAGCTAGTGATTTCAAGAACATTTTGATGTCTTGGAACAAAAATTGCTAAGCATGAATATAACCTTCAGAAACTGGAACCACAAGCTCACAGAATGTTAAAATTAGGAGGGAGTGATCTTAGAGGTTATTTAGTACAAACTTCTTCATTCAACTAAAGAAGAAACTGAGGCCCAGAGAGGGGAAGGGGGAAGGCCCATGGTATTACCAGCTTTCCAAGAACCCAAACACAAAGCATGTTAAAGTATTTATCTCAATAGAGAACAGCATAGAAAGCACAGTTCCACTTTCTCTCTTCTTTAATGTGTACATGAACAATTACTTTTAAGACTTTAAAATCACAGCTAATAGCCTCAGACTTCTTAGTTTATAGTTTGACTTTACAGGGAGATCTAGCGTTTCATATTTAAAAGACTCACTCCCACACACACTTTAAGTTGAAATACAAGGAATTCTTGCATGGATTATGCTCTGATTTGACTTTTCCAGAGATAAAAGAACTTATTAGCTTCCTGCTTTTGGGATGACTTCCCTTCAGAGATTCAGAGACAGACAGTTCATTCCACTGGGCCAACAAAAGCTTGTTGAAATATCTGAAGCCACACAAAGCAAACATGTATAAAGGGTATATAGTAAAACCTTAAAATTTAAGAGGCAGTCTAATTGACAGAACATTTACTCCCATAATTAGGAAATTAATTCTTTTGTAGCTAAATATAATCTATGGAAATATGTTCCCTCTCTCCTTTCTGGCTATTTAAAAACCATTTCTTGGGTTTACGAAAAGACAGGCACACTGATACACTGTTGGTGGAATTGTAATTAGCCCAACTATATTTGAAATCACTTCAGAATTAGACTAAAAGGTGATTAAAATGCCTATACCTTTTGACTCAGTGATTCTACTTAGAGGCATCCTAAGTTAAGTACAAGACAGAAAGTTCCTAGAGATACTACAATATCACGGTATTTGTGATAGCCAAGAACTGGCAACAACGCAGATACCCACCAAAAGAAGAATGTCAAATAAACTGCAATACACAAATGTAATGGAATACTGCCATATGCTAGTGAATGTCTTAATTTAATGAAATACCACTGCCTCCAAAGAATTCAGGGAAGCATGGGAAAACTCACAGGAACTGATGCAGAGCAAAAAAAGCATGAATGGGATGTCCCAGTGAAGACTTCTCAGTGTAATTTAGGTAATGAGTTCAGAAGGTAGTGTGAGAAATGAACTCTCAGAAGTGAAGGCTCCTCAAAGGGTCAAATAATTCTTGATTACGACTTTCAAAATCCTCCCCTACTCAGACCCTGTTTTTAAGCACTTAACAGAAAGAATAAGCCCTGCCCCACCCCCAACCTGAGCTTCTGGCCTCTTTCCTTGTCTTTGAATTTCAGCCGCCTAGAATGTAAGCCCCACCTCCCAGTTAGAATGTAAGCCCACCCTCAGTTAAGGGGATAAGGGATAGTGGTGGGTGGAGACTTTGCATGGTGGGCAGAAAATTGCTTTTATAAGGTGGACAGCCATCTCGGAAGATTGTAATAAAGGTAACCTTTGCTTTCCACCTTGAGAAGTCTCTGAGTTTAATCTGGGTTGGGGTCGCTGTCCCACACAAGCAGAACCAAGAAAACAACCTAGCCCATGATAACAACAGTGTGAATGGAAAGACCAAGCAGCAGCAGCACGAGAAATGTAGCCTGTTTCCTAATCAGACTGGGCTCCACAGAAGAGAAGAAGACATCCAGGCTCCCCTTCCTTGCACAAGTCAAGGACTAAGTACTAGGGATACTGCAGAGACCGTCAGAGTGGGTGGCGCTGTGGGCTCGTTTTTGCAGAGCTGCTTTCCCCCCCTCTTCTCTTCATTGTTTTGTTACTAAGGACAGCTCCTTGAGGAAGAGGAGGGGTGCAGGATCAGACTGGAAAATGAAGCTGAAAAACCAAGAGATACCAATTAGGTGGTGTTGTTATTGTTGCTGTTTTCAAATTAAAATTTATCTCCTCCTTAAACATTCAGCTCAGGAGCCAATTCCTTCATGGATCCTCCCCAAAATTCCCATCTTTGGTATGCTCTCCTTGTCCAAACTCTCCAAGAGCCTTTAGTCTAGCTCTTTTTTATCCACATCCCACGGGATACCTTTTCATCTACTTCTCTGTGCCCCTGTGTCCCCCCAGCCTGACCTAGGAAGTATGCCTGAGCCTGGCAATGGTCCCGATGGTCATCACAGTGCCCATATTAGATACTTCACAAATGTTCGGGCCTCGAACGCTCTCCCTCCTCGAGGACTCTGCAAGACTCAGCTTAAGTTTCTCATCTGTGGGTGTCATTTCTTGGAGTCTTCAACCCTTTTTAACCATATCACAAATAATCATTTCTCCCTGAATTTTTATTTGATGTAATATTTTTTCTAAGAAGACACTGCTTGATGTAGACTCCAAAATTTTAAAAGGCTTCCAAATTTACAGCTTCAGAATAAGGGAATGAGTCATTTAGACCCAGTTAGACACAGTGATGGCATGTCAGACTTGTAAGAGACCTTGGAATCACAGAAAAGAGGATGTAAAGATAAAACTGGATGGGAATTTATAGATCATTTCATCACTCAGTGAAAACTGCCCTCTCCAAAGTTACCAAATGATCTCTTAAATGCCCATTCCAAGGGCCTCTTCTTTACCCTTCTTGACCTTTCTAGTCAGTCAGTCAATAAATATTTATTAGATGTCTACTATGTGCCAGGCACTGTGCTCAGTGATGAGGATACAAAGAAAGGCAAAAGATAGCCCTTGTCCTCGAGGAGCTCCCCATCTAAGAGGGGAGATAGCAAGCAAACACACAAACAGAATACACAGACAGTATCAACTGGAAGTAACAACGAGAAAATTGACAGCATTTGACACTGATGATCCTACTAGCCTTGTGAAGGTACTCTGCTCTCCAGGCTCTACTCCTAGCAGTCTGCCCATTCCCAGCCCCAGAACTCTCACTAATCCTAGGTTAAAAGCCCAAGGCTTTGTCTTGGGTCCTCTTCTTTTCTTCTCTATATTATATCACTTGGGGATCCTATCAGCAACCAGGGATTCAATGACTATCTCTAGTTATATCAATGATATAACTCCCAGATTTATATCTCTAACCCTATTCTGGCTCTTCAACTATAGAGAGCAGGACTGACCAAGTCTCTGTCTCTCTTACACACACACACTTTTTCACTAGACTTCTATGGCTCCCTATTACCTCTAGGATCAAAACTCTGCCATTCAAAGTCCTTCACAATCTGACCTCTTCCCACCTGTCCAGACTTCTTACAGACTTTGCCCCTTACACGTTCTCTACTTGCTCTTCTTCTAACACAATGCTCTCTCTCCAGCCACTAATTAACCCTGGATATATAGGCAATGGGGGCAGTAAGGTGGTGCAGTGGATAGAGTGCCAGGCCTGGAGTCTGGAAAACTTGAGCTCAAATCTAGCCTCAGACACTTACTAGTTGTGTGACCCTGGACAAGTCACTTAACCCTGCTTGCCTCAGTCTCCTCATCAATACAATGGGCTGGAAAAGGAAATGGCAAACCACTCCAGTCTCTTTGCCAAGAAAACCCCAAATGGGGTCACAAAGAGCCAGACACAACTGAAACGACCGAACAATGACAATACAGTCAATCCTCCACATTTCGCCTGTTTAACTTTCTCAACTTCAAGCAGTCATGTGATTTTATTAGCAGCCTCATTTTCAGTTTTCGGTTGGCAATCCACAGCAAAGAAATAAAAAGAGGTGTGATGCCACAAGCTTATATCTGCAAAAAGGAGGAAAGTACTCATAAAAGTGTGTGTGAATCCATTCCAGAAGTGCTACTCTCTCAAGCTGGGCTAGAGAAGCCTAGGGAGCTTCTCACCTTCCCAACTGCCCATGTCAATGGACTCCCTGCCCCAGCCGGGAGTCCAAGTTCATACCTGGACCTCACCCTCAGACATGTGCTTTTCATGGAGGAACAGTTCATCCAAGGCCCCAAAAAGGAGATTGGCGATGGTAGGCTGCCCTTCTCTTCCCTTTTTTATCTTGAGGTTCTTCTAACATCCCAGCCCCTGCCCACCCGCTCATCTCTCTGTATGGTGTTGTCTCTCCTCTTCCTTGCATTTTATGGGTTATTTCATGGTTGCTGTGTCAGCAAAAATGAATTATCAGAATTAATGTTTCATTATAAAGAATTATATGCAGAAAAGTATATTTTCAGCAATCTCTAGCAAAAGATTAGTTTTTGATGGTCGCAGGGTACACTGTTTTCCAGGAATGCTACCCCAGCAAAAGCTGAGCCTTGACTGCAGCTTGTCTGAATGTGGCTGTTGGTACACTGTCTGTTCCACTAATTTCTGAGCTCCTTGTGGTCAGGCATCATGTTCTGTTTTTCTGTAGGTCCCCAGCACTTAGCACAGTATCTACCACATAGTAGCTACTTAATAAATACTGGTTCACATTTCTTCAAAATCTGGGAAGGGCACTGACAAACTACAAAGTGCTCTGAAGAGGTGACCAAGGTGGGGAAGGCGCTGGAGGCAAGACTACTCACGGGTGGGTTTAAGCAACTAAGGATGGTCCAAGGGAGAGGAGGCATATCAGTATTTAACTGTGAAAGTGCAGCATATGGAAGAGGGATGAGCTCTGTTCTTCTTGGCTCCAGGGGACAGAATAGGGACAATAATGGTAAATACTGCAGAGCAGATTCCAGAACAAAATAAGGAGAAAAAATTTTTTTAAATGTAGAGTTGTTCAAAAGCCTAACGGGCAGCTTCAAGAGGCAGTGTGTTCCTATCACTG